TAATATAACACCTGGTCTACCTGTAGTAGCTATAACTGTACAGTTGAACTTTGTGTATGAAAATAGCCATCAGTATCTTCCAATAGTAGCCTGTGTTTTGTCAGGTAATGTCTCAAGGTTACAGCCTCCCTTATTTTCAAATGGGAATTACCAGTCATGTAGGTAGTAGGTAAGATTAACATTAACATAAAAAGTAAAGTGAGCTTTATTAGTTATTCTGGAAAATTTGTCAAAATGGAATAAATCTTGAGGTAATACCGCTAGTCTGATCAACTTACCTCTCCAGTAAAGGCGACTGTTCGTCGTCCAAAAGTAACATCCACACAACATTGTTTCATTGTGTATTGCACACTTGTGTTCAGACCATTTATTTATGAGCACAGACTCATGTTTAAGTGGAACTTAGTATTATTTTGTAATATATGTTGTCGAACCTCCTATTATATAAAGTGTGGTAAAATTAGGTAAAACTGAATTAACTTTTAAAAAATAGTATAGGTCCAAAAGAGATATGGTAAAGATACTAATTACAAAGTAATGGTATATCTCTAAGTAACCGAGCCATGAGAATAGACTAAAGAAACAGGCATAAAGTAAAATGCAAATAAACAACTTTTAATAATTGAAAAACACAAACATGTTGTGTATACTTGCTATATTCAACTACCCAAGCTGAATTCATGTTCCAGACTGATTAAATCCAGCATTTCTCAGTCATATATGCCAGAGTGACTAGTGTAACCCATGTGACTGGCCATTCTCATTCAAATATAACACCTGAAATACCATTGAAAGGCACTGTGTTGGTATCTTTGCACAATGTGCAGTATTGTAGCAATACCTCTCTTGTGCAAAATAGGTATTATCTATCAGAGAACAAACAAGGCACAAAAGCAGAATGAAATCAACTTAAAGGAGAATGTGAAACCCACACAATATCAAATATATTACAAATTCAGAATAAATACGACTATAATATTACAAGATGACAAATATGTATGGTATATTCATATACTACAAGTGGCTTGAGGAAAATCAGTTTTTACCTGAAAATACCACATAACTACAGGTACGTTTAAACTTGCTATACCGTTGGTAAAAATGAATGTATATTTTGTGACTAATTGAACATGTATATTTTTGTGCTATAATTTTGTTTGTTTTTTTGTAACATTTATCTTTTATAAATATAGTATAATAAAAAATGCAGGTATTCAAATGTCCAAGTCATGTACAGAAAGACTTTCCACACCACAGTTACTTTTCTAAATTTGATGGATGCACAGGAAAGGAAACTACAAATTATGCTGCTGTTCATCTTCATTGGAATACAGCTTCAACTGTCATCAAAGAGGACTTCAAGATTACAGATACATGTTTCCTTGAGAAGTCTGCTCACAAAGTGGCCTGTAAAATGCTATGATATTTGTTTCTATACTATCATTAACTAGGCAGTGAAAATTATTCAGTTATTTGTAAAAATTACTAAACAATAAGCTTCCTATTTGAAGTCAAGTGTTTTTTACTGCACTGACAAAGACTTTTTTATTTTATTTGGAGGATAATTTAAACAATAGTTTCTTCACGTATATTTTTTTTTAATTAGCTCAAGTGTCTTATAAATATTGCAATTTAGTTAACTTACAAAAGCTTTAATACAATTTGAAAATCTCCTGATTGGACACCAATAACTCTAAAAAATTACAACACTAAAATCTGGGGTTTGATTCCTTGCAGTGGACACAGCAGACAGCCCAAAGTGGCTTTGCTCTAAAACAAACAAACAATTTGAAAATTGTATCTGTCTCTTCATTGTTGTAAACCATACACACATATAATCTGTACTTGTAATTGCAAGTAAAATTAGATGAGGTAGCTTTTGAAAAGAGTCATAGCACTTCTTTTCAAAGTATAAAACCTCTAGGCTGTAATATACACATATGGCTGTAAGTAATTCTTGTGCTTTTGATTAAAAAAAATATGCCATTCAGTTTTCTATTGTATGGAGTAAGATTGAATATTGTTTCACAGTGTTAAAGAACAATGAAAGACAGCTTGTACCTTCAAACAGAATTTGAAATAAGACTACAACTAATATGAATAATGTGTACCTACATATTAAGAAATCCTGTTAATTCTGTTACTAACAAAAATAAATCTACAACCTAAGCTTGAGTAATGTTTTCATAAGGAATGAAACATAATTTATTCTATCTATATAGACTTGCTAATATCCAAGAAGATTTCTTGACATTTTTCATGAAGTTTTAACAATAGCTTTGCACTATCTTGATCTCATCATCAGATTTTTTTTTCTCAGCATGTGCACAATGAATAAATTTCTTTTTATCAAAGATTCTTTTAATAAAATCATCTTATGATTAGCCAACAGAATACTTTGAATACTTTAAAAAATGTACTGTATGGTTCAAAAGTTGACTGAGCTTATGAATCCTTTCCTTTTACAAATATTTTTACTGAGAAAGTTATGTAATTTTGTAGTCAGCCAGTAAGGCCTTTTTTGGGGTGGGGGGTTCTTGTACTCAAAGAATTAAAAACAGCACAAAATTTGAAACCATGACTAACCAGTTGGTGAACTTGTTTAGTAACTTATTTCAAGTGATATTGAATGCTACCCTAAATTGGATATTACTTTAAAATATCTTTTTCAATATATCTTTTCAAAGTACTCTGCAGAAAGCTTCCAGGAGAGCTTCTGGTACTCTCTCCAGCTCTATTTTAGGCAATCTTAAGGCTACTGGGTAACGTGTCATATAGGTTCTAGTGGTCCAATCAAATCTACAGCTACTCTACTGAATGGCTTTTCTATGAGAGGCATCTCACCCAGTGGCACTTTGGCTACCTTCCCTCTAAGTATTGTCCTTTGACAGATGTCATATGACCTACAGAATCTGGTTACATCTCTGATGACCCCCAGCCAATGGAAGTTGCTGGTGGTTCTGCCTGCCATCTTCTTCACTCCTAGGTGTCTTCCCACAATTGATTCATGAGCCAACTTCATCACTTGAGTACCATATTCTATTGGTACTATGATTTGTTTAACTTCCCCAGTAGAACTGCCTTGATAGACCTGATACAGAGCTCCCTTCCAGTCCTCTTTTCTGTAAGTCTTTTTCCCGTTTGTCTTGTGCTCGACTTTCTCCCCGCCACTGTTCCAAGGTTTCTGCAATGTAGGGTATTTCTTCTGTGCTTCATTCAGTTCCCGTAGACCTACATTCGGGATGTCACCTTTTGAGACTTGCAAGGGTTTGATGTCTTGCTTGCTTTTCTTTTCCTGAGCTCTTGTAGTGACTGACTGCAGATGCTTCATCAGTATTCTTTTCGTTTGGTTCCTCCAAAATTCTACTGCCTGGTAAATTGCCAATCACCAACTCGTAGATGAGTGCTTTCATACATATGGCCTCAAGGTCTCCCATGTATTATGGAGTGTCCACCATCATTCTTGCTATGGGAAACTTTCTCACTGTCCCATCAATCAGCAGACAGATACGAATCTAGAAACATCATCTGGTCATCAGATACTAGACTGATTCTTACTGCTGCACCTAGTGTCTCACAGGACTTTCATTTTCTTGTCCCAGAAAGAGCCTTCACCTACTGACATGTTGTGGTTTGTTGGCATCTCTCTATGTTTGTCACATGCCCCAATAACCACTGGCACTGTTGACTTGTTTGCTAACGTAAGCTTACCATCAGTCATGCATCTGACATAAGTTGTCTCATTGCGTTTGTCTCTAACTCATACCCCTCTCCCCCTTTTTCTTCCGTTTTTTAAAAATAGTTTGAACCAATGCTTGATAAAAGGTTTCTAATATATATATACATATATATACACATATATATTGCACATTTTATTATCTGTCATAAGTGTAGTGAAGACCAACTAATTCACTGTTTTCAATTAAACTCAAATGTATTTGTCATATGTGCAAAAAAAGAGATTAGGTTGGTGCTGTTCACTTTTTTTCTCCTAGTACTTTACTTTTATAGACTACATGTTAATCAAGACACAATAACAAGCTCTTGTCTTACCTGAAGGTCGGTCTATGAACTTTGAATGACATTATTTCTGTGTATATAGAGCAGTATCTTCTCTCCCTATTTCTTGTTTGTAATGTTAGTGCATCTGTCCAATAAAGACAGATTTATAGTTTTTAATCAATACATGTTTTAACACGATATGTTCCTTTTTAATTTTCGTCTAGCTGCATACTTTTAGGTTAAATCAAATTGTGCAAAGAAACTAATAATTCAACATAATGAGTTTGAAAGTCATAAATACATTTAAAAGTACAGAATCTGAGTGACGATACATCAAATCCTTAAACCGGTTTTTCAAAGGCTTAAATTGAGTAATTTAATTACAAGAAATGAGATAAAAGTTCTAAAATTGTCCATATGGTGGTTACGTATTATTGAGGTATTTGTCAGTTTTACCTACAATTTAAGCATCGATAATAAATAATAATACAGGTTTTATCCTCAATAAGACTGCCATGATTATTTTGTTATGATCAGAGTCAAGACTTCTTTTTCTTCTTTTATACACTTGCGATTCATCCTATAATGATGATCTCATAACAAAAAAGTTTCATGATTGTGTGCTAAGATACTAAATTAACTTTCTAAACTAATATTTGATGATAAATGGCCTTTGGTAATATCTTGGACAACAATTTTTGGTGTGTTCGACAAGAAATGCATCAATCTACTAAACCAAAAGAGAAGCAAAACTGTGGAGGTGTTTAATATGTAGGTGAGAAAATTAGCATAATTTAAAGCTGTTATAATCTGCTCTGTTTTCTTCAATGAAACATTTGCAATGATCATAAGCTCATATATAAGATGATGAACAGCACTATTTTTATTAGATTTCGGGAACTTTAACAAATAAATGTGTTAGAAATGACCAAGGGGAACATTACTAAACAATACATCATAGCAGTTAAAATATAAAAAAAGAACCAGATTATTTCCACTGAAGAAGAAAATCCAACTTTATTTGTCATCAAGTCGAATAAAAATATCAATATTAATTGAATATCAAACATACAAGCATTTATTTGAAAGCAAGCTTTTGAGACAAGTTGGAGAAAAACACATGAATAAAAATAGCCGTTAATAGGCAAAATTTTTGCTTTAAAATTCATTACATGGTCTATTTCAATTAGCTAATTACCAGTAAGAGATTTAAGTCTACAACACATTATTTAATATTTCTATAGCTCTACATATGAATAGATGCTTTATTTTAGAAAAGGTGTACGGACAGAATATATAAACGTATGTGTAATAAAAAGAAATATGGAAAGGCAACAATTATTTTCAAAAAATAATAAGTGGTAGGTGTGGAGTAACGAAAGTATCACATTTGTATATAGAATATAAACAGAACTGCACTGTTACAGTTGACCGTCAAACATCAGATCAGTTGGAAAGTGAATAGTTCTCTCCCAGAAACGAGCCTGGGAATATGCCTACTAGTGAAAAGTTAGTGCCGTACGTGTTACTTCACAAACAAGCAGGGTTTGGTTACAGTAAGAAATCTACAAAGTGACTATACTTCATACTGTTATAAGTTGGTAAATATTTTATTTTTCTGTTCCAAGATTAGGCTAAATAAATTTTATTTGGCTTTGTTATCCCAACAAAATTTGATGTTCTTTCAAACTTAGAATGCAAGCGCTATTATGCTTCTATGAATTGAACACAGATTGTGAAGCAAAGTTCACCAGTGCAAATTATATATATATATATTTAAAGGTAGAGAATTTTATGCGTCATCCAGATGATACCATTAACAGTTCTATGTCGTAAGTCAAATATTAAATTAACATTGTCATTTATACATATTTTTATCTGCTTAAACCTACATATTAACAGAGAGAGAATACGTAGAAGTTGATGGTTAGATTGATAGTGATAATATTGGCGCTATCAAAAGTTGCAATGCTAGTTATTGAATGGAAAACATAAATCCATAATGATGAAAGTTATTCATTTAATTTTAGTTTCTGTCTCCATAAGATAACACGACAAACAATTTATAAGCTCTTTTCGTAGACCATTCAACTCATTTGCAAAAATTAATTAGAATATTTTCACTGTTTTTATAATGTAACGTTCATAAAATATTTCGCATGGTTATTAAGGCAAATCAGTACAAACCTTCCTCATCAAAACCTGAGCATGGTTACACATATGCTAATACACAGTGAGCAATAGTGTTTGTTTGTTTGTAATTAAGCACAAAGCTGCACAATGGGCTATCTGTGCGCTATCCACCAAGGGTATCGAAAACCGGATTCTAGCGTTGTAAGTCCGCAGACATACCGCTGTGCCACTGGGGGGTAAGCAAGAGTGAATCACCTAATAAAGATATTAAGGGTACTAGTAGTATTTCATATTTCTTTCAGATGAAAATTGCAGTTGTTCAGAATAAGATGCCAGCTAGACTAATGTAATAGAAATATAAGAAGTGCGAAAAGGGCGTTCGTTTATCCGTGTGTGTGTGTGTGTGTGTGTGAGGGGATACGCTATGGCCCACACTATATATTATATAACACATCACATATTGTTTTGTTACCATTAATATTTTTTTTCCACGCACCAACCCCCTACCCCCCCCCCCTCTCTCCAATATGCCATTCAGTTAAAATGTACTTTCCATAAAACCATCGTAAGAAACGCTCGGTCTGCCAATGGTGCAATATTTTCTGGCCGCTTAAAGATATTTAATATTACTTAACTGTTTACGTATGTTATTACATCATGATATCACTGTTTCATGGGGTGTACAGAGAAGATCGTTTTGGGCATTCATACTAACAACATGACAACAACATAGCAGTGTTTTTGCGTATAAAAGCAACCAAAAACCTTAACTATATATAATTATAACACGAGTCAATTTTTCTAACACTTCTTATTTTGGATATTATTTACTCTAAGGATTATATCAATTCGTATAATTTGTTTCTTGTTAAGCAAGTACAAAGCTACACAATGGGTTATCTGTGCTCTGCCTATAGCGGGTATCGAAATCCGAATTTTAACGTTATAAACCCTCAGTCTTAACGTTGAGCCACCGAGGATGATTACGTATATAGTTTAAATACGGCATTTATAACAATCGGTTTAATTCTGTCAGATTGTCCAGTGAGCAGTTTTGTAAACATTCAGAATCATATCATGTACGTATGAAAATAACTTTCGAACAAAATTGTACGACCTCATTGCACCCATGCCATATAGTTACAACAGCATGGTTTTCACCTCATATGCTCGTAGAGAAGCAGTAGCGTAGTAAGGATCTGAAATGTCCCGACGCAAAGTCTTCTATACCCCTACCCCCCATACTCACTAGTCTTTCTTCCACAATCCCATACATACCATCAATTCCTCAGCCCTTCCTTTTTCACTTAATCAACTAACATCAGGATTTTTTGTTTTCTTTAAAGAATTGAAGACAATGGTTACAGTCACTAATAGTAATCTCTTGCGTGCCTTTTTCAAACTCAGGAAAATGCAATGCTGGTTGGCCCTCTGGAGCAAAACTGTATTTTTAAAAAGAATCATAATATCATCAAGGCGGTTCCTAAACCCTAACAAAATACTGCCAAATATTGTGTTTTAATTTCATAACATAAGTAAATTATTGATAAAATATAACAATATTATCACAATCGGGATTTTATCTTCATATTCAACATTTACTGAGCAAGCTTTCAAATCCGTCTCTTCAAAATAAACTCATCTCTAAAAGTATTCAATATTGTTGAAAAACGATTACCCTAAGTATTTCTCAATTGTTGTCATTCTAAATATTACACTGTGTGTCACTATTGTTTTCAACGACAGATGTATTATTACTTTTACAAACACGGACACACGTACATTCACTATACATTTTAAAGCTGTTTTTATTACGTATCAGCCTAAAAACGGTTCCAAGAAATGAACCGGATTGGGTTATTATTTTTTGTCATTGCCAGGTTTTCTTTTACCGTTTTTCTTATTGTTTTACCTTTATGTATATATAAATATATACATATAAACTTGTAAACGTTTAGTGGTTCTTTCGGTGATCCTAGGACAACTACCTTCCTTACACCACCTATTGTAAAGAGAAGAAGAACTTTCCGAAACGGTTACTTAACTTGATTTTGATGCTGTTCAATTATTATAATAGATCTGTGGCTCTGCCCTCATCATATATACATCACAACGAACACTGCAACAAGTTTCTAACACTAACAAATGTAACTATCATTGAAACGTCGTTCGGACACCGATTAAACTTGTTATTTAGCCATTTATCTTTTTAACAAATTACCAAGATAATCAATCAATCAAACTATCGCACTATAAAGGTATTCTCTAAGATGTTAATTAATCAACAGCCTTAACAGGTCTGTTATACGGCACTTATTTTGGTAATGTAATACAGTTTCCATTGGATACGAAGACGTTCGAATTACAACCACATTTCAGGCATCATTATACTGCGAGTATCAGTGGGATCAAACATTTTCAATATACCCAACTCCTTGTCTAAACTTAGGTTTTGTATGATGCAACCCTGGCTTTTTTAACGTGCTGCAATGGCGTGTTAAGACTTGCTTTTTCATAATGCTCGAGAAAAATGTGCCCTAAACAATTGTATTTTGAAAATGTTAATATTTATCTTTAATATTTTTTTTATAAAGCACAAAGCTACACAATGGGTTATCTGTGCTGTGCCCACCATGGGTATTGAAACTCGATTTTTAGCGTTATATGTTATCAGACTGAGCCACTTTTGGAAGGTAAATCAAGCCGAAAATTAGAAGCTACACTAAACACCTCAAACACATCTAAGAATCTGTAGAATGATGGATTGGGATTGAGAATTAAACTGAGAAAAAAATCTCGTTTTATAATTTAAAAATGTAAGTAATCTTCTATCAGTTACGAAAAAACAAACAAACGAGTACTTCGCGAGATTCATCAAAACAACCAACATAACTTCATTTCTGAAAAAAAAAAGAGAATACGTAACTCCAACTGTTTTTTATTTGCGAATTCCTCACATAAACGAAATAAAAACAACTTGTCATTCCCTCTTTCTATAAGAGCATCATGGCCAGTCGTACTGTAAAAACTGCATTCAGAACAAAAGTGGACTTTACGTACAGTCTAAGTATAAATACATCAACGTGTTCAGGAACTTGACAAAGTAATTCCTACATTCAGTGTTTGTTTCTTTGTTATGGGTTTCTTGTGTAAAATTTGATTAAGTTTTCTTCAATTTATGAGTGCAAGCCAACTTGCTCATCAACAGCAAAGTTTCACTCCAACGTTAAGATAAGTCAAACAATTTCCTTTCAAGAGGATTTAAACTCATGTCTGACTTTTTAATAAATATTTAAAGCAATTTAATGTACAAATGAGTTCTTAGCAATGAAATGAAAACATCAGGATTGTGTGCTTATTGAAATTATATATATATAGAGCATACAGTATTTCACAGACCCTGCAACTAGTTCGTGATTTGCTAAATTACAAATAATATTTCTATACCGTTAAACCGCTGAAGCCAAATTTTTAAATATTCGCGTATATCATTCCTCTTCTTTTTTTTCTTCTTCTTATAACTGTCTCCTTGGGCAAACATGTATTTACAAGTTCTAAATATAAAAAGAAATGGATTCAGATCTGTCATTGGAAATATTTCTAACAATAATTCGTACACGTTAAATAAGAAATTTTCAAACAACAGAATACACGAGAAAGACTTCTATCTGACCCTGTATTTATAAACATTAAAATTAGGCGGCCTTGTGGACGTCTTAATAACGATGCGCCCTTAAAAGCCTTGTTCAGAAATTCCTTAAAGTGAGATGAAGAAGGAAAAACAAACAATCAGACAAATGTTTTGGTATACAGCACAGTCCAATATCAAAATAAACGAACTGAATCAGGTTAATTACGTGAAAAATGAAACAGTTTTAACACCACACGGCGGAAAATGACAGTGGACTAGTTTATTATCAATACTGCAAACTTTGAAAATAAAAAGAAGGAGAAAACAACTAAGATTACACACGACATGTCTGTCTCAAATAGCACAATCACGAATGACAAAAAAGGCAACGTGATAACAGCAGTATAAACACCGGTATTATATTTTGATCACACCAATTTTGATCACGTCTAGAAGAAATAGAACGTGAAACTAATTTGAATGTTCTGATACCATTCAAGCGTTTGAACAAACACACAGTTGAAAATGACATAACAATCCGAAACTCTCGCCCGTTTCATACATTGTCATCTTCAGGGTTATCCCACAACGGATAAAAACAAATTATGCTTCTCATCTTGGCATCCACACCTATAATCTGTGCAATTTCAGTGTATTCTATATAATACCTTAAAACAACTATATTAAGGGGTATTGTGCAGTTCCCACGTGGTGTTTTTTTATGCACAGATAATAAAACCAAATGCTTAAATACACACAGATATTACCCACCAAACTCTTTACACCAGAGTTTTATTACTAAAACTCTAATGAAATAAAACTCAATCAACACACAAAAAGCTATCATTTCAAATAATAAAATTTTAGATATTTTCAAAGTAACAGTAAGATCAGTAGAGAACGCACGTGTTAATCTAGCTCAAACCACAATTTCAGCTATTTACAACTGGCTATAGCATGATTTGTAAGTCATTTACACATTACTAGCTGGAGAACACATACAAAAATGTCCGTAATACCTCTCGTCATTGAATGAAATAAAGTTTATTGTACATGTGTAGGTTCCCACTAGGTGGATGTAATTAAAAGTTGGTAATTCATAGAGAAGATACAGCTTAATTGTTTTAAGTCTCCCTCTTCTTTTTTTGGCCAAGGACTGGAGTGTCTAGTTTAAAGGCTGAAGAGGACTCTATCACAATAAAGTTGCACTTGGTTCTTTCCCTTCGAATGTTGAGGAACCAGCAATAAATTTCTTCGTTAGTTTCTAATCGCATAATTACAGTCTAATTACGTAAGTCTGTGTGGGCAATTTTTCATATTTAAGATTAGATATCCATTGAAACACACATATTTGGTAATGAATACTGTTTATGGTTCCGTTGTGTTGAACACATACAGATACCAAAATGAGACAAATACTTGTGTGGAGTTCGGAACCCAAAATAAGGTTTCTACTTAAAGTAGAATTTGCTTTGACAGCAATTAAATCAAAACGGTATCTCACAGCTTTCTTTCTGTTCTACTTTTTTTACTTTTTTTTTAATCTCCCTATTCATTTTCTTCATTCCAGTCTTCTATGCACCCAGAGCTATTAATAGATTCCTGGCTATCACAGTTGACTTCTTGGTCAACAGTTTGATATCTTGACGTACAGCCTCCCTTATTCCCTAATTCCAAACAGTTTTGAGAAAGGTCATTTTTGTTATCAGGAGCTGGGACAGGCTCCACCTCAATTGTATTTTCTGGTTTTGATAAGCGAACACTGAAGTCTCCTGTCTGTCGTACACAAACACCGTTAATGATTTCCCCTTTTTCAGTGTTATCTTTATGTGTGTCTTCGTCGTCATCGCTTTTAACATCACTGTCAGGGGAATATTCCAGTTCTGGATTCACCCACTGGGGCATGGCAGGTTTTCTCCTGTTGCTACTACTACAAGTAGCAAGTGTACGTTTTAAACTACCCTGATTCAGATGGTGACTATACGGAGAAGGTGACTGTTGTTGTTGTTCTTCTACTGATTCTCGATCGCTATTTTCTGAAACTATTCGATCCTGAGAAAAGTTAGAATCCTCGTTTATGTCACTTGTTGAGTGGTCATCTGGGCTTCTACAAGTGGTCTCAAAAGGACCAGATTGAAAACTGCTACAGCTACTGCCACCACTTCGTGGAAAGTGTTGACTAGACATGCTCAAGTCTAAAGTCCCTGAGTTCTCGTTCTGGGTGTTAAATGGGGAGCAGTTTCTGTAATTGTCATATATCTTTGGAACCTTTCCTTTCTCCCTGCTTATCTCAGCTAGTCGACCATTCAATAGAAAGCGAAACTGGAGAGGATCAAAACCAGTGCTTGGTTCTTTTACTGCGAGCATGGAGATGTTGTTATCATTTGGTTTCTGTTCATTCTGCTGGCCTGTTGGCGACGCTTGCTGTTTAAGCCGCATACGGTAGTTATGGAACCAGTTAGTAACTGTTCGAACAGATAGGTTTAGCTCACTTGCTAAGAATTCTATGGTGGCGGTACTGGGGTAGGGGTCCATAGAGAATGCCAAACGAAGAGCCTCCTTCTGCTCCTCAGAGAAGAGGATTCGTGGTTTTTTGGTTGATGAATACGGTGAAGGTGGGGGGAGTCCGTAATTGAGGATTTGGCTCTCCTTATGCGAGCTGCTAACTTCCTGGACGTCGATAAAATTTCTTTTTCGCTTGTTAGCTGCAAGAGATGATGTATTTACTATACATGACATGTGAAAATGTTTAAAAGGTATATTACAGACATTTGTTCAGAACATGAAACATTAATCTGCACGTTGACACTTATTCAAAACACAACAGATACTAACTAACAAATAATCAGTAAACAAAGAGAGTATCAAAGCAGATAATACTAAAGCACAGTTAGTCTACTAACTGTGATTTAAATATTTGTCAATTAGTGTGTTCAAAGGAAAGCCACTAATAAGTTACACAAAACATCAGGTTTGCGAAATCTAGATTTTAAATTATATAGTGAAATCGCCATTAAGGGGTACATTTACGAAATATAGTTATATGTTAGCTAAATAGTAAGATTTTCAACAAGTATATACATAAGAAAACAATTTTTTTATAGATTACCGAAGCGCGGCTGCTGTCACATGTACAGGGTTGAATAAGTTATTTGAAAACGATTTTGTATATGCAAATCATCGAATCACGTGACAACCACATATAATGTGAAGTCAGGTGGAACAGAATGCTTCCGAACAACATTTTGACATTGTTGAGCGTTTTTAAGTAGTATGATGCCACCAAACATTGATCGCTTTTGGGAAGAGCGTGTAACAGATATTTCTGAAGCAAAGTATTCATATACTTAGATCATAAAGATGTGTTCTAATCGGGGATTTAGAATCTCCAAGATGGGGATATCTCTGGATCTTAATGACATTGGAAAACAAAGGAATATTGGGGAACTTAGGGAACCAACACCACAGAGAAAGGGACTCACAACAAGTCGTACCCCAACTGGGGTAAACAAAGTACGGCGTCTTGCAAAAAGGTGAGAATCCACGAACTCAAAGGTCAGTGAGTGGCAAAAGTAGTCCACGTGTCCCAAGCAACAGTACGCAATATAACCAAGAAGGATCTTCTTCTGGTAACGAGACCAACGTGGTATGGGTTCACCAAAATTTACTTTCCATTGAACTGTCACATACCTCAAGCAGCGGGCAATGAAACTGTTATTCGTGAGATCCCTTATAGTCAAGTTGTGGGATACAACGCCTATGGATTTCTGTGCAATCAGACTGCTAAAACGGGAAACTGTTATCCTCATATATTAGATGACTTATGGAAAGCACACAAAGTGAAGTGGTGTGCTTTGAATATGACAGCCTTACGACAGAGCCTTTTGCAATGGAATATGTTACAGGCCTACTGTCATCATATATTACATGACAGGAAACGGCAATATAGTAACTTCGAGGTGAGGCTCCAAAATCGTTTTAATATAACGTTCTCAACCCTATATATATATACTTGCACAAGAAATTAAGACAGATCATGAGAATTCCTTTGTCGTGCAAAGAAGCATGTTGCATTTGTGACATAAAAAAAGGTTACAATGGGTGCAAGAAGTTTTCTTTATGTGGATTGACAGTAGACATTAAAATATAACTATATTTATATGTATAGCAAATACTTCTATTAACATATAATAACAGAAAAGTTATATTTTGGAAATTTTACAAAGTTAACATGAAATTATATTTTGCAAACACTATAAAGTGTCTTCAATGTTACTAAAATCAAATCCTAGAAAACACGTTCTAATTACTTCTACCGCACAGAATACAGATGCTTGATTTTTAAGTATAAATTATGTTTTGACTTACTGGTTCTAATTTTTATTATTGCCATGTATTATAAATTAGGTGTTAAGTTTTTTAGCATCTTAAATATTTATAAAATTGCTCAAATAATATTTAGTGGAACCTACTTGCAACAACCAACATCAAAAACATAAATAACACTAAAAATAGATCAAAGCACACTTAAGATATTTTGAGCTTTGTTGGTGTGATGATTCAATATCACCACATTTTAGGCTTCCATGATTAGTAAAGAACATATCTTTAGTAATGCATATTCCCATAATTTTTATTAATTTCTTAAGCAGGTTCTGCATGATATTAATCACATCCATGTTAACTGGACATATAAAGTCTGTAAACATGTACTAATCCTTTCACTTACATAAAGGTTACATACTACAATGTTCTATCATTGAGTTTATGTAAAAATAGTCTAAGTTGTGTATCAAAATCCCTAGCATGGGGTCTTACACATTCAAACGGGTGATACAGAGACCTGTACAAATTGGGTTGAGTTGGAGGGTTATCGCCCTTAACTATGTTTGTTTGGCATTACTGTTAATGTAGATAATCTACGGTTAGTGGGATATTACACTAAGACCTTGAACTGACTACAAAAGTGGGATATTCACATAATTTTCACTCTCTTTTCTGAATTTACATCTTGTCTTATAAACATTTTTATGAAGCCTTCTCTCCTTCTCAGTAGCTGGTGGAAAGACACAAACAAAAACAAAAGAAGCTACATAAAGAGTTTTTGTTTGTGTGAATAAAGCATTTTTGTTTTACTTATTTACTTGTGTCATTTCTTTTCTTTTTGCTGTCTGTGTTAGAAAGTATTCTCAGTGTAATATTTCCTGAACCTGCAGTATTGTGGATACTTTTACTTGGGGATGCCATGTCTGTACAACATGTGAAGACAGCAGCAGAGCAGACTTAACTATTCATATTTAGGGTAACGTGTGAAAACAGAAGTAGATTTAATTGTTTTTTGTCAAGACAGTACATGAAAAGAACAACTTTAGCTGTCTGTTTTTGTCTGCATAACCTCTGATGACAATAGCAAACTTGTCTAATATCAAAGACAGAAGCAGACTTAACTGTTGTTGCCTGTCCAATGTTGAAGACAGAAGCAGACATAACAGTAATTTTCATGACAACACTTAAAGACAGCAGCAGACTTAGGAAATAAATGATTGTGTAATTAGTAAGAAGGGTATAAAAAAGTAATTAAAAGGCCATTAATAGCTTGTCATATCTAACTGTCTTTATTTGTTTTGCTGGATTTCATGCATAGCTACACAAGGGCTGTTTGTGCTAGCCATCCCTAATTTTGAAGTTATGGATCAAAAGGAAGGCAGCTAGTCAATACCACCCACTGTTAGCTGTTGTCAGACTAGTGAGATTTGACTGTAACTCTTATGAAGCACCTAAACACAACAGTTTGGAGTGCACTTACCCTGTTTAATTGTAAAGCACAACTTATTTCAGTTTTTGAATAAAGAAATGCTTAGATGGACTTGTGTTATTTGGTAATCATTTTGTTCTGTTACTTAATATTATTTAAAAAAACTAGTTAGTATATATATAAGACAGGAACAACCATCTACACATAAATTAAATGTCTTCTCACCTTCCCTCCTGTCATTTTTTAATGCCTGTAGTTTTTCAGCACTCTGAGGATCATTCAGCCATAACTGCATGCGGATGAAAGGTTCACGGCCTTTGATGCTGAGCATGTGCCAAGGCTTTGGTTTGGACAGTAGTTCACTGACTGACCCTTGTGATAGGCCCAAAATGGCTTCACCAAAAATCTGAAAAACAGTACAGGAAGATTAAGTTGGTCTGTTCTCTGATGGCTTTGTTATTTAAACGTGGCATCTATATGAAATAATGATTAAAAAACTTGGGAATAAATTTAACCTAGTCTTATAACATATCAAACCATTTGTGTTACTTCAAAAGAAAACTTAAGGTGTTATATGTATGGTGTTTCTAGTTGTCTTTTACTCACCACGATAGACCAATATTTATATAGGTTCAAGTGTGTTGTATTAAAACTAGCACCAACTGAAAATGAGCAACTGATAAAATAATATATTAGTTCACACTGGCTGATTAATTATCTAGAGAAAATATCACTTACATTTTACAACATTAATGCATTAAAAAAAGATCAACACCATTATTTTGATGAGCAATATTCAGAACTTTACTCAAGGTACTAACCTTCTGGCCTATGTTGTGAGCCAAGAGAGTTTCCTTTACTTTGGATGTTATAGACTGAGTATCAAGATCTGTTGTCATTGCTGCCATTTCATATACAGAAGGATGCAAGTAGGGCACGGGGCGGGAGTTTTGAAGTGTCTTTCTGGAGTTAATGCTGTGTGTGGTGATGCTACAATGTGTTACGTTGCTGCTTGCAACAGCCAAGGGGCTTTCTACAGTTTTTGGAGGAGATTGACATGGCTCTACTGGTGCAGAAGGTGCAAAACTTGTAGAAAGAGAATGATGGCTATTTTCCTTTGGTAGATGTTGAGAAACACTAGGATCTGAAGTTTGAGAAGATATCTTACTTGACCCTATATGTATGACAAGAGTAATGTTATGTATACAGTGCAGACATTTGGTACATAAACATGCCATTGATATTTCACAAATTAATATGTGACACCTTAATTAACCACATAAAGAACTTTTATATCTTGATAATAATTTAGACCAATACAGAAACAAACCTAAACATGCCAATACACCTAAACAAAAACCATATTGAGTGAAGAAAGGTGAGGAAGGTAGTTTTCTATTTATCTGAAAATAAATAAAAATTGTTTATTAATATTAAAAAAAAGGCAGGAGACCCTTACCTGGTGTGGTCTTATTTCCAAGATAAGCACCTGTACGCATTAACTTCTCTGGTGGAATTTTATACTGAGAAGCAACAAGTTTATGAGTAGCATTCTCATCCTCCAAAAATATCTTCATTCGGATGAAAGGCTCTCTTCCCTTTTGAGTAAGCATATACCATGGTTTTGGCCTGGCTAGTAAGTCAGACACAGAGCCCTGGGACAGTCCTAATACATTCTCTCCAAACAGGCGCTGGCTGATGGAATACTGGCTGAGCTGTTCCTTAACCTGAGGACACAAAGTTCAACATCAATAAAGTGATATAGTGTTCAGTTTCAGTGAGCAAATGTAACTGATAAACTATATTACTTATATATATATATGTCACAAACACCATCCTTACATGCACAAAGTACTAAATATTATTGCTAAAAATGTAGTTTTTAGTATATGGGACTTTTAAAAACAAACATTTTTGGATAATACAAAACAACATATTGTATTTTGTGTGTTACACTGAGCAAGAAACAGAATGTAAAAATGCAGAATAGGCTTTCACAAAAAATATTCACAACAATAGAATGAGGAAAAACTAACTCAAAGAATTCTACCAAACTAATCAAACAGTTTATTAAAAACATTCTACACAAAAAACTCACACATAATTATCAAATAAACAAGTTTTTCAATGAAAATGTTGAGAGTTCAGTGTCACCTGCTTACATTTTTAACAATGTCTTCTGTGTTCAGGTTATTATACTGATCGAACTGTTGTTGGGTGATAGGTGGCAGCACAGCCCTGGCTGGACGCTGTGGATGGTTAGAAGAAATTGGCAGTGTTGACTGGGTCAGCAAGGAGTTTGTAATTGATTGCATCCTTTGGAGAGGAGAAACAGTAGAGTTGAGGTCTTCCCTCAGTCCTGAAGTTTCAGCCATAGATACTGATGGAGTAGGTGGAGTAGATGAAGAGTTTGAAGTAGGATGGTATGATATTGGTGTTTTGGGAGTTGCACTACTGGGCTCAGTTTTGGGTTTTACAAGGGAAAAAGCACTTCCGTGATGATGAGATTCTTCTGACTCAGAAGGTGAGCTAGCATTCAGCTTTTTTGTCCAGGTGGTGGGTTGAGCTGATGCATCAAAATGTAAATCACAGCGAGAGTGTGGACTGTTCATATTAATAGAGTGTAAAAAACTAGGAAATGTGGGGTAGTGCATGGATCCATTAACAAGATTTGATGGCGTGCCTAGGTTAACAAGATCTGTCATGGAGTGAGGAATTAGTTGTGATAGACGGGATATCTCTTGATAGTAGATGTTCAGGGCTTGACGAATTTCATCTTGAGTTCGTTCAAACTGATCCCTTGGCACACAAAATCCATCTTCCATCCTTTGGCACATTAATTTTGCCAATTCTTCCTGATAGATCCGTGTAATCATTTCCTGTGAAATGTCATCACTGTCTTGCCTATGAGATTGCCTGGAACTATTAATGTGTGGATATTCTTTGTAAAAAATGTTGTTCTGAAAGAACTGTTGTCTGTTACCCTCTCTATCCAATTCAATACCTCCTTCTTCTCGACCTTCCTCTTCTTGTTTGTGAGATGTTCCATTTTGTGATTTCCAGTCAGGAGAATGTTTCATGTTTCCATTATAAACTACAGGATCCTTTTCATCTTTTGTGGGAATTAACATGGCTTGCTGAGCCTCATTCAGAATCTGAGTGATCCGATCTTTAGCGGCTGGGTCCTCCGGCCTGCATGTTGGAAGCTCAGATTCTTTTCCTACAAATATAAATTCACCGTTTATTTTCATCATAAACTTTCTATCAATAAGCATTTCAAAGAAATCAAGAAAACATAATTATTTATATCATGTTTTTTTAAATACAGAAAATCAATTTTATGTTTTTGAAGACACATAGTATAAGTATTTCTAATTATTATGGTTTAGTTGAAAGTTTTGCATGAAAGTTTAACATTCATTTGTCATAATGTCATAGTTAATTCTTATCATATGGATAAGTTTATCTGAAATGAAGAAAAATTATCAACTCCCCAATGAAATACTAAAATATATAATTATTATATGCTCAAAATGTCAAATATTTGAAATTTTTGCTTCAAAAGTAATCATTATTTGTTATTATTCTTATTACAATGCAAGGACTTGTTTTTGTTTCTAATATTTCAAAATCATACCCCCCTCCCCCCAAAAAATTATTTGGAAGATGTTTGTAATCACATAGAATAAAAAATAAAACACATCAATGTCTATGGTAGCTCTACTGCACAACGTTACAATTCTGCAAAGAAGAATGATTTACAGGGTCTATCCAAAAAAAAACAAGATTCTAAGTACTAAATAATATAAAGATAAAAATAGAGAGGAATATGGAAGTAAAAAAAGCAGTTAAATTTAAGTCATTTTTAAAAATTTGATGTTATTATTAATATATGGTAAAAAATGTCTCACCTTTCTTGGGTACTAAAGTTTTCAGCATATAAATACAACTGTCATCTGTAGCCCATGCATGCATTTTGCGATAGGAGTCTCTTCCTTTTTCTGTTAGTTTGTCCCATGGCTTAGGCTTTGAAAGTAGCTCACTTACTGTTCCTTGAGAGAGGCCAAGGATATACTTCGCAAACAAGCGCTGTCCAATATTGTGAACACTCAACAGTTCTCGAACACCACGGGAAATGCTAAGTGTGTTTAATGATTCATTTGCATATTTTTCCATACACTTTCGGAGGCATTCTTGAAGTTTTTCTAGAGTATTGCAGTGGGGCACATTATGTCTAAAGGAGTCCTTAATTAAGTTGGACTTTGAACAGGTCAAAGCTTGTGAAGGAGTAGGAGCTGCTGAGGATGTGGAGGTCTCCAGTGATTTAGATTTGTTGTGAGTATATAAACTATCATCTTTCTTGAATATTTTGGCATAGGAGGACACAATTTCTTCTCCAAGTAGTGAAGTGAATACCTTAACATTTTGTAGTGGTGGTGGTAGTGCATTTTCTAGAGGATTTTGAATATTACCTGGAAAAGAAATAAAACAGGATTAGTATTTAACAAAATTAATTCTATATTCATTGCAAATGTAACATTTTTTCTCTAATTTCTTAAAACCAGCATTACTATTTAATACTAATCTCAAGTAAGCTGAAAGAGTTGATAAAAAAAATTACTTATGTTGGACAACAAGGTAAAACTAATTTTTTTTGACAAAATTTATTTATTATTATTTTTTTATTCATAAAACTTACAAGTTACTAGAAGTTATAAATGTTGGTAATTTTAAATTTTATTTTCAAATTTGCTACATTTTGACCTTGGATTAAATTTCTTTTCTCATAACCTAATTTATATTGAAATCTTAGTAGTTTCACATAAAGAATCTCTCTTTTAACATGTTTGAAAAGTCAATTTAGAATGTACAGTTCAAATTAAGACAGAACATATAATGTATGATTTCTTTGAAAATTTCATATTCTATGGTTTGAGTTAAAGCATTTGTATTTACGGTAAAGCTACTAAGACTATCTCTTGTTGTTCCTAGTTTTGAATTACTGATCACATGGATGACAAGAAGCCCATAGCACCCTACCACTCACACTAAGTGATTTGCTGTCACTTTTATAAAGCACCCATAGCTAAAAGAGTGGGAATATTTTGTGGTGTCACATGGATTTGAACCTGTCTCCTCAGCTCCTAAATCCAGAGCTTAACACAAGGGCAACTCATACCACTCCATGAAAATCATCATTCATTTGGTTAAAACTATGCAACAGCTAAACAACTGGGAAAAGATATAATGCAACAGAATTAATGATAATTTCCCTGTTCATAATTCTTAGCCTATTCATTATCATAGGCAAACACAATAACTACAAGCACAGTCTCTAAAAAAAATCCATGTTGTTAACTTACCTGTTGAACCAGTGTGAACTGTGTTATTTGTAGCATTTTCTGATTGTAATGCTTTGTCGTTCTCCATCAATAGGCCATCTAGTGGTTTGAGTATCTTATTGTTCTCCTTTGTACTGCTGTCATTCTCTGGACAAGTATTGTTAGGTAGTTCACTTGACTTCAATACACTGTCAATTGTATTACATTATAATTAATGAGTCATGATCTAATTATACACAGATTTATATAGCATAATGAGACAAATATTTCTCACAGTTCTTTGAAGCTTCAACATTAATGACTTACTTGTTAAAGCTAATCAATAGAAGAACACGATTTTTAAAATGATTTCCTAAATAAATTTGACCAGACCTTCACTACAGTGCAATCTTAATTCTTATTCTGTCATTGGATGAAGGTCTGGTAAAATATTTTTTACACAGAAACATGAAAGAAAGGTATTTAACATGAAAACCAAATAAGTTCCAAATCACACTAACATGCACCATATATACATACTCCAAAAGTTATCACTGAATTTATTATTAAGATTTGAACTCAGAAGCTAAAAAATAATTCAGTTTAAGGTTGCTTTTTTATTTCCACCTAAGTAAAGAATTATCATAAAAGCCTAGTAATTTTTGGCAATTAAAACTGTTCAAAGAATCAATATAATAGAATTACACGTGCAGAAAAATATTTCAAATAATGATGATGATGAAAAGAATTGAAACAAACTATTACTAAAATAACATCAAAACCAAAAAATTATCAACAGCTCCACGATTTCATACTTTAATTCCTTCTTCATTTCTTCATAGTCATGTTGTTTAGTAAGCTTGTCCTCTAAAAGTTGGATGGCTTTGTTCTTGTCTGCTAAAACTTCTTCAAGTTGAGCAATCTGAAATCAATGTTCAAAGAACAATTAAAAAATATCATGCACTGCATACAGTGTTTTGGAATGTTACATTTGTTACTAAAAACTGAAAAGTGATTGTTAACTGGAGCTTAGTTGCATGATTTAATCACAATCTGTGATTACTTTAATATTGAAAAACATCAAATATGGCCTTTAGTAGTCTTCTAAAAAGTTATATAGATGACAAGTAAAAGTACCCGTCCCCAGTGACGGGAAAAGATTAAGTTGACCTATGAATTTAAATTCTTTCATAGACTTTAAATAGGTTAATTATGTTGCACTCTTGGTTTCACGCAGAGCCAAAGCTCTGAGGTACTTATACCGCCCACTACGAAAAGTAATTGTTCAGCATTTCAGTCATGCTTAGAGCCGCTCAACAATAACATACGGTTAATATACATTTTTATTCTTTATGTTGCGTCATATTTTGATATATAAATAATAGTGGTTAATTCCTAAAACTTTGGTGTAGAATATCCTGCTTGCGAAATAAGATTTGGCATCAACGTTAGTCATGCCTGTTCTCCCGTCATTTCAAAAGTGAATGTTGAGCTTTGCCTGTGTGCGCAGCTTTTCAAACAGAAGACAGATGAACGCTCGGACAGACATCACGGTTCGCAATATATATAAGGTTTTATATTATATAACAGATATACATTTCAAGAAATTTTCATTTTCGTAATGCACCATTTGACACAGTATAGTATATTACTGTTTCAAACAATAGCTTATTGCAGATATAACATTTCAAATTAACATACGCTATAAATATACCGTTTAAAATGATAATTCATTACAAATAAAACATTGAAAACTACAAGTTATAGCAAAAATACAATCTAAAATATATTATTAAGAAAAATATATTATTTTGAGAATTAACATCACACAGTTAAGTATTATGATATTATTACATTACCCTTACCATTCACACATCAATCAACTAGCCTCTGCAAGCTTCTGATTGTGAAACACATCTTAAATTCTGAGCTACCTCAACTCATTAAGATATTGTACAATTTTTCAGAGGTGCATGGCAATAACCAATAATACTTTGCAAAAACGTAAGTTTTATAAATAACCAATCCATATTGAAAAAACGTAAGAATACTTATTTGTATGAATAATCAATCCACAGTACAAAACCTTAAGAGCATTTGCTTGTCTAAATAACCAATCAAATAGAATGAAAATTTAAGAATACTTGCTTGTATAAATAACCAATCACATAATACAAAAACTTAAGAACAATTACTACTATAAATAACCAATCACACACAAGAAAAACTTACCAATACTAACTTATATAAATAGCCAAGAACAAAGTGCAAAGACTTAAGAATACTTACTTGATAGGCACTTGTTTCTTTCAGCTTGTTAATGGTAGACTGCAGTTTCTGAACATCTTCTACGAGTTGAGAAATCTTAAGCAGAAGACAAAAGTGTTGAAACATTGTTTTACATGTTACACAGCAGTTTTGTAAATTTACAATATGAAAAGTGTGAATTAATACATTTTATCTAATAGTGATCATCTCTGTTGCTGTTCAGTTACAAAGTTTTCTAAAAAAAGGGTTAGTTATCAACTTTAAATCATGGAAATGTGGATAAGGAAAGTATATATTAATACGGAAATAGATTTGAGGTTTTTTACAGTGACATACTGTGAAAATGGTTGTTTAAAACACTATATAAGATACTATACTATTTGTTTTCTTTAGCTAAATTTTCTCAAACTTATTGCTAAGTTCTTTCTTCATGCTCTCCTAATGATCTACCAAATGTTTTTTCTCGTTTTGTAGTTTTTCACTTAATCACCTTGAGAGGGAGCCACCATACTCACATCTTTGTCTTTAGCGGCAAGTTCAAGTTCCAAAGGCGTGTAATCATTTTTGTCCATGTCGGAATCGTGGTATAAAGTATCCGTAAAGTGCAGCGACTGTCTAGCTGCCTGAAGGTGGCTCTTAAGTGTCGTAGCCTCTTTTTCTGCCAGTACTGCTCTCTAGTAAACAAATAAAGCGTACCTCAGTTGATTTTTTTTTTATTCATCCTTAGGCTTAATTACTACACTCCTTAATGAATGACGCAAAATAACGATTTGCATATTACTCTTGTAACCAATACCGGAAATCAAGTTTTGCGGTGCTTTGAAGGTAATACAATTTGAGATGACATGTTCTAATTTTTGGTTGAATCAATCCTATTAGACGGTTTCTTTGTTTCACAGTTTTCGGGGATATCTGTACAATTTATTTCTTGCAACTTTGAGATTCGGTCTATTGTCAAAACCCATTTTTCCCATGTTAACACATTATCTTCCAATCAAGACTGGTCAAAACCCATTAAGTTTTCTTTGAATTCAAGTAGTTTATTCTACTCAAGAGCTAACAAAACGTTTCTACAGAGTGTATATGTAGAATTACCTTTATCGTTTCTTCACTTAATAAAATTATTCCCAGTCTAATCTATTTCTGAGACTGGTAAACGTTGAACTTAATAAGCTACTGAGATCTGCCCTACAGTGGTTAACAAGTGCTGCTACTTCGTTCTAAACTAAAGGTACAGACACGTTAAGTTTAATGAACTTAATTTGCTTATCTTCCCATTATTGTGCTTGTCAGTACATTTTGAATTAGACATAGAAATGTCATTTTGCGTGTGGGTATTTGCAGTTAAACATTTCACCGAACGAACATAAACAAGAGAAACTTATATTGATCCAACCTTGATTTACTTTATTAGCTCCCAACCCACAGATTAACTAGGTTTTTTTGTAATACATTCTGTCATCAGTCACTGAACCGCGCTCGCGCCGAAACGCACTACAGAGAGCTTCTATACTTCTGAGTTTCATTACAGACAAACAGTTAAGTGTTATGAGAACTCACATGTCACAAAATAGGAGGAACCTCCAGACAGTCAACCCTCTGTGGAATTAATATATTAGATCTGGGCGATTCTATTATAAACTTATATTTAAATTCACTCTTTCACTACACTACCTGAATGTGTCTTTTACCCACGTCACCAGTTCTCATTAATAAATCACAGGCCTATTCACAGAGTATTGCTAGAAATAATGAGATAATTTCTATTTTAATTGGCTTTCTGTCATGGAAATGTATTCACTGAATTGAACTGGCTGAGTAAGGCTTCTGGTTATCTACTGTATAAAAAGAACAATGAAATCAAGTACTTTATCAAGAACCCTCACAGATACATAGAAACTAACTAGAAAAGGAAAAGAGAATGTAAACAGGCACTATCTATCTATTTTTAATGTACATGTTGAATACTGAAAGCCACATTAGTGCACTTGGCAAGGCTAAAACCAACTCCAAACCTTTCATCTATCCAAGAAATGCGCAATATAATTTAACTGTGGTTGTTTTCTTTTTTTTCTTTTTCTTCTCGTGTTTATCACTGGAATAATGTAGCGAAATACTATACGTAAAGAGCACTCTGACTTGGACATGCTCATCCGCTGATCCATAATTCTACTCTAACTCTCACTTTGAAACGACGCACGCGTTAAAATAAAATCTAGGTTTAAAATCATTCAGTCGGCCAAGACCCACCATGAAAAATTTCCCTCAGTGAATGCAGTGTGATAACAGAACAACAAAAAATACTGTTTTATGTCTTTTCTTCCTCTAGATGACGCCTTTCAAGCCACAGACTAGACAGACATTCGCCAGTGAATTGAAACAAGCAACCATTTCTCAGTTCGGAATTAATTACCCTTCTAGAGGCTGGAAGAAATTGACGAAAGCACCTTAGAAGGTTATGGTTGTATATGATATAAAAGAAACTAATGAATATTCATCAGTAACATTTTCCCTGCTCAGTCGAGAGACACAGTACCCATCTGTAACGCCTGGGCTGCGATGATATTAAGGCAGATTCTCAGTTTGCTCGAAACAATGGCCAATTAAGACTCATTTAATAATAATGAAGCAGAAAGTGTGCTTGATGAAGAACTATCTTTTGAGTCTTGCATGTGAGTAATATTGTAACTGAAGCAAACTTCCTGCTTCATTCTAGTTTACTGTACTGCAAATGAATGAAATTCTTTTCTTTGGTTGCAAGCAATGAAGAGATTAAAAACAACAAATTCTGAGCTTCCATCAAGTAGACTGGAAGTCAATTTTTTTAATCGTTGCGGAAACCAGTTATCTTTTAAGTTGCAATACAAGTGTGAATTCAAACTGCATCTTCAGTATTTAATTCTTCGGATATGTCAAACGTGATGAAATGGATGTGTTCAAGTTACAATGCGAGCGATTCTAGAACTGGCCACAATAATTACACATAATGAACAAAGTTTTCAACAGATCAAAACAAAAGGAAAAGAGAACTAATTTTTAGCATATTCAAAAGCTGAGATAGCGATGTTTTCTTCTCTTTATTCTTTGACATTAAGCTTTCGCTCGATTAAGCCGTGGAAAGACGGTCAAACAATTAACTGGTACCGGCTTCACAAAGGAAAGGTTGGAAGAAAAAGAACGAAAGGAAACATTAAATTAATCTGTCGGATCATATTTCCTTAATTTCCATTGTAATATATTAAGGAATTACTTTGTATACAATTCTGGAGAACAGAGAATCGAGATTATTCTAGTATACACGTTTACACACAGAAAACATTCTCAAAGTTCTGTGCGAACAAATACACTTTGTCCCACTTACACGACACCATCCTGTCTCTCGACATCTCCTCAATAATACCGGCGATCATTTAAGTCTTTACTTTACAGTGTCTGATTGGTTAAGAAAGTTCTTTTTTTTTTCATGGACACGTGTAGCATTAAGCGTTAATTATGTTAGGCTGGTAATGAACATGAGTGAATGTGTAGGTTGAACAAGCCGTTAGGCAGTTAATTACTCTATCTAAGGATCTTGGTAGGCAATCGGATTTTCATCTGGAACTGTACAAGCATATAACGTATCAGGCTTCTCTTACCAGACGCTAATTCCGTATAAGCGACTCAGTTTGCCTTTGCTTTTCGCGTAATATTCATTAGAAATCTCAGTAAAACGAGCAAAACTACCAAAACAAAGGAAATCACTGACTACTTAATCTTGCAGAGTGTTATCTAATGAGACCCGTGTACACTTGAGTGAAAGTGTACGATTATACCGCAAAATTACGACTCCATAAATACTTATAATGGAGAAACTGACAAGAACACAGCAAGAACCATTCTTCTACATGGAATCACAATGTTCTTTAACAGTGGAACTGGATTTCTGGTTGTCATAAGCAATGTACCGTACCAAAAATATCCTCCTTTCTCTCAGCAGTAATGAGACGAAATTTAACTACACAAAATATATAAGTTAACTGTTATCTGGGGCAACAAAAGGCACAAAATATATTAAAATTCATTTTTGTTTTGGCATTTCATGTGAGATTTTAACCCATATAATTTCATTCATTCATTCATGTGGTTCCACCCTTCTTTTTTTGTCTGGAGTAACTTTACAAAATTTAAATAATGAATTCTGTAAAAATCAAATTCACTTTTCTCACAGGTTAAGTTACGTTAGATGATACATATGGGAACAACACACTAGCTCGTATACGCCCAGTAGGTAGATTTATTATTCAGAACAGGAAATCGTGCCGTCTTATGCATACGGGAATGTATTAATATATATCCGTGATTACAATTATTCGTTATGAAGACTATGACAGATTTTCATCTATTAAGAACTAACGGGTATCTACTAGCTTAACGTTACAGCCCTAACACTCGCTAATTTCCCAGGATTAAACCCGATTTTCTAGTAGCACATTAGCAACTATATTATCAAGGGGTTTATTCAGCGGGACGTTAATGGATGGTTTCAATTACATTTCAGATTAATCCTGAAAAGTCACGAGGCACAAATACTAGTATGTATTTTAACAGATCTACAAGGTATTATATAATCACAGTTCAATATAAACACACAGCGACAAATGTGTGTGTGGTATTGGTAGTCCGATTTTAAGTCATTCAGCGAAACGATTGCTGGTTGTGGGTGGGTGATGATAGTGACAGTCATCGATAATCTGTACAAGAACCCTTTGATCACGATTTACATACGTATATAACTCTCCAGCTTTCCACTCTCAAACATAAAAGTTGTGTTATAAAGTTACCTATCTATTTAATTATTTCTGCTTCTTTGCTCGTTTTAATTTCGTTTTGTTTTATTTGAGCATGACGTGCATTATTTTTTATCAGAGCTTTATTTTATCATCATCACTGTCATCAGTCATCAATCAAAAGTGATAAGACTTTTAGTTATTTTATTCATTTATTTCGATAAATATCAAATCGTGCTTTTTCATATTAACTGGTTCATTCCTTATGCATTTTCTTCATGTGTACAATGTGCTCCAAACAGAGCAGAACAGACAGAATATTTGAAATCTTCGATGAACGTTTGTATATAACAGCTGAAAACAAATAAGCAGACTCAATTAACAGCTATATAGATTTTCTTCCCTTTAATTACATCATACTTGTTTGACTGTTTTAGGCTTAAACTACACAATGAGCTATTTACACTGTACCCATCACAGGGATCGAGTCACTAATTCTAACTCTATAAGCTCTGAAGCTTATCACTGAGCTATGGGGGTGGGGCAGAGACCTTAGTGTTCTTTAAGTTCTTAAGAAATTAACTGAAATGGTAACTTCAGTTATTGTTGTTTTTCCATTCATACAAGTAACTACATAAATAAGAACTAATAAACAAGTAACAATAACTTTTTTTTTCGTTTTATCTGGTAATAATATGCTTTCCATTGGGTGGGTGTTTACCTTTCTCTATACAAGAACAAAACAAAAAGGAATTGGTCTGTGTGCTATATGGAGACCGTGAAAACCGTTGAATAATCACGGCTACCTGAACGTGTATTTTTTAAATGAGCAATGGAAATGGGATCTCTGTTTTTACTTTCATTTTAAAAGCCTTCAAGTGGCACATCGGCAAGTGTGAAGGCT